ATAGTTTCCCGGGTCCTCCTTCCTCCCTTTTTTGAAGATTGGAACCACATTGGCCCTCTTCCAGTCCTCCGGCACCTCTCCAGTGCACCATGAGTGCTCGTAAAGCTGTGCCAGGGGACCTGCAATGACCTCGGCCAGTTCCTTTAGTACTCTAGGGTGGAGATCATCCAGACCGGCTGACTTGAATACGTCCAGCCCCTCCAGAAGCTCCCTATCTAAGTCCTCGCTAACCCTTGGCCCAGGTGTGCCTCCCCTGGGGCCCAAAGGGGGCCTATCATATAATAGAAGCCTTTTTTATTTCCTTTTATCATGTTCTGACTCCCTGTGAAAACTTGCCAAGTGATCTCTCTTTTGATTAGAGGCCTGGTCAAGTAATTTGTTACAAATGTAAATCAGTGAACAACACATCAGCTCTTTTCAGCTCCAAAGTTTCATGGAAAGTTTGATTCTGCTAAATGTAATCATTAATCAAAGAATCATTGCTGCTAATAATTCTTGGTTTATGATCAGTTTGGTGCCAGTGTTTGATGAGGTTCTTTCAATGTAAAAGTCCCATGATATACTCCTGTTCCTTGATAATAGAAGTGTAATTCTTAGAAGATGTTATGGGGGACATGCTCACCATTACAAATCTGAAAATTGCTTTTGGCTGCAATTCCAAAATTTCCAAAATTCACTTTAAAATCTGCTTTTTATATGACCATTACTGTTAATGTTCTAATCTGTGAAAAATGACCAGAAAAAGTTCATGATGATTGTCAAACTGAATTTGTTTGACAATTTAAATAAATTTGAAAAGTTTTGAGGTATTTCATTATTTATAGGTCATATCAATCTTTTCCATAGGGCTTGTAAAACAAGTGGAGCTGTGAAAAAATTCTCAGTTAAAACTAATACAATGTCATAATCCTGGTTCTAATGAAGTGAATGGTGGGTCACTTTGTCACAGTTAACAGTGGAAGTATGATAGAGTATAGGCTTTTCTAGGCTTGCGATAGGAAATGTGCAAACTGCAAAAATAAAACTGTAGAGACCATTTTAGAGATGAGGGAATAACCTGAGAGAGCTTGAGAATATGGATGTTTTCCCAATATCTTCAGGTGCAAGAAGTGATATACCTTGGAGGGGGGTAAGTTGGTTGTTAGAGGGAATTAATTATGCTAACATGTTCTTGTTTTGTTTTAAAGGGTGATAGGATCGTTGCAGAACTCCCTAGAGTTTTCTGAGGCCTTTTCATGCAACAAGACAAACTTCATGGATCCTGTAAAAAAGTGCCGGGTTTGGTGATAGAACTATGTATCCCAAAGAGGAGCTTCTCAGATACAAAGAAATTGGGAAATAATTAAGGGAATAAATGTTCTGTAAAAGTCACTGTAAGTGTTAGAAATCAAGAATGCACATCTGCTGAACTGATACTTCAAAATAGTTGATTTTTCAATTTACAGACTATCTCCAAGGCAGCAAATATAATGTATATTAGCTGCTTGTCTTTTGACTGAACCTTGCAAAATGTAAATCACTTACCCGCATATGTAGTGCTTCACTCTTAGTTTATTCCCATTTCCCATTTGCTCTACAGATTTTTTTATTCTCAGAAGGGAACACTTAATCACCTACTTCTCTGCGAATGTATATGCCTGATCAGATGGAAGAAAGAAATATTAAGTAATACAATATTTTGGACACCAAAACATGACAATGAGACAACAGTTTACATCAAATGTATCAAACTTTGTACTTCTTTCTCTCATGATAACTGCTCTACCAAATATTTGCTCTCATTTTACTTGAGACCATTTCTATAACAAAAGTCCAAAGACCTGGTAGAATACACTGATGTTATTTCTTAGTAATTATTCCAGTGTTTAATTCACTATTTTCTTTTAGTAAATACTGCTTTGCAGCCAAATTAAGAAATGTAGATAATTTATTCATTTTCAAGCATCTAATCAGTAATGTTGTGATCACAGTTTTCTAAGCATTTTCTTGTTTCTCCAAACTTGGTCTTTTTAAAGGTTTGTAGTAATGTATAAAACATAGTTTTATATTTAATTCTGAGCTACACTTATGACTTGAAGTAACTGTTATATATTTTATCAGTGATTTCATAAATGGAAAATTTTGGTTAAACCTGGTATGATACTATAGGATGAAGTCCAAAGATCTCAAAAGGAATACACAGAACAGTGACTTTTGAGATCCATTGTTTGGGCTTGATCCTGAAAATGCGTTGTTACAGGAATTTATCAACTAGTCCCCTTGAAGTTAATGGGACTGCTCCCATAAATAGAGATATCCAAGCACTGGCAAGACTGGATCTATCCTCAGGATAAGCAAAAGGCTTTAAATCTTCTATAAAATATAGGAAATGCCCTCCTGCAGGTTGCCAAGGAACTTATTGCTTCTTATATAGAAGCAAAATGAGATTTCAAAGATATATATACCGGATACCTCAGATGACTGTAATGGGTATATTTAAAAACCTGTTAATTTTAGCTTTTTGATTTTGTCATCTGATAAAAACATTTTGATAATAAATTGAAAGTATGAGCCTAGTGCTCAATATTGTCTAAGAGTACTGTGGTGTTTGTGTTTATTGTAAGGCATGTGCAGTGAATAAAAATGTGTTGTCTGCACAGCATACATATAGAAAATCCAAAACCCCAAAGTGTCTGGAACAACCAACAAAAGGAAAACTCAAATGATTTAGTCCTAGTTTAAAAATAAATGCAAATGGAGTATTTGGCACCTGAGGAAATTACCACAAAATTGACTGCATTTGTCAGCGTGTGTTAGTAGAGCATAGCAAAGAAAAGATGCTGAAGGTCAAGTTTCCAAATTCTCCTGTGCTGCACCCAGCCAATTAGTCAGGCTTGATGCTGTAACAGCAGCAAAGCCACTGTGGAGGCAACTGCTGTGTTTCTCTTTCCAAGCAGCAGCAGCAAAGTCCCTGCATTGTGCTGGGCCCACTGCCAACTCTGAATCACCAGACCAAGGACACAGAGACTTCACGAAGCTTGTCTCTGCAGTACACACAGAGAATACAACCCTGAGCGGGACTTGCAAACTCAGTGTTCCCTAATCAGTCTTTTGAACCACAGAATTTTTACCCCAGTGCCACTCCACCCAAGTCCTTCTGTGGTTACAGAAAGGGACCAGTAATACCCTGAAAGAGAGGTGATTACAGTAGGAGAAAATAAGCTGTAAGTGCATTTTAGGTGTCTCTCTCTATTGGATTCCTCTCACTCCCCTCCGTACATTTATCTTGAGTACTGATATAGCCCCCATCACCACAGTGGCTCACAATCTTTAATCCTCCCAATACTGCTGTGAGATAGGGATGTGCTGTTATCCCCATTTTACAGCTGGGAAACTGAGGCAAACAGATAAGTAACTTGACTGAGTCACAAAGGACGTTTGTGATGGATTCAGGGAACTGAACCCAAGTACCCCAGACTAGACCTAATCCCTATAGTTAAGCAGTTGTCATAAGGTTGTTTTGAAGATGGATTGGCAGTGGCACAGCTGCAGCTAGGCTACCTGAAAACAGGTGATTGATTGCATGGGTTTGCTAGCCAACAGGCCAGTCTGAATGGGACATATATAGTTACTGGAGAAAACTTCCCTTTTTTTTCTCCACAGTAGATTCAGTGCACATCCCCGATTCTCTACCCTCCACTCCACCAGTCTGTGAAAAGTGGTCCTTAGCTACACACTTCCCAGTCTTAGCTCACTCAGTGGAGCTCAATGTGGTTAGGTTATTTCTTTCATGTTGGCAGTAAGAAAGCAAACTATTCTTATGTAAAATGCCCAACAAAATGCTGGCCAGCAGTAGCAGCAGCAGAATCTGTTTGATGAGGCAGAACCTCTTTACCTATGACAGCTGTATCCAGACAAGTTGCTGAGGCCAGTGTTCTCTTTGTGATTCCCCTCCATGTGCCGTGGTCTTTTTTATTATCTTAGCTAGCTTTATTACAGCCCATTCATCTGTAACAATGGAGTAGGAGTAGAGCGGGGAAGGAGTTGCGTAAAATGCCAATGAGATACAAAACATAAACAAGAAAATATGAAATGACTGAAGTTTCACTAGCTTGGCGTTGGTTATGTTGTAAGCAAGAGGCAGCAGATTGTTCTGGCTTGGTCAAATAAAAACAGGACTGTGCACTTAGACGTGTGATTCTGAACCATGGGACCAGGGAGTACCATGAAATTCTTGTAAGGGTACTGTGGGGCGCCACACAACAGTAGCACTGTTAGGCATGCAAACCAAGAGATTTCAAATGGAAAGCCATAGTTAAAAAAATTCTGACCCATTGTGTTTTTCTGAATTCTTTGCAACAGAAGAATTGCTGTATTATTCCCATGGTCAGAAAGTGAATGAAAACGGGGAGCTGGAATTTTCCAGGTGGTACCCCGAGTCTAAAAATGTTGAGAACTACTGACTTACACCAAAGCTTACAGGAAACAACCATGTATTTAGAGCTGAACTGTGACACAGAGGAAATCCCTGCATCCGGCAAAAGGGCAACATTCTCCTAAGTTCCAAAGTAAGCGGAGCCTTAGAAGTAAGCAAATCTAGGAGCATACTAGGAGTATCACTGACTTCCAGTTAAACATTTGGCATCAGGTTTAGGCTTCTAACTCACTTGAAAATGTGTTAGGCTTCTAACTTTTTTAAAATACTACCCCCAAAAGTGTCCCCCAGCACCACCATTGGACATGGGCTGCTGAAATAGCAGATCCAAACACATGGGAGCAAGCAAAGCTACACATTTTTTGCTCCCTTCTTGGAGCAGGTGAGGGAATGGTTGGAGCCTTGGCTTTGCTTTCTGCCTGGCTACAGCTGCTGAAGCAGCACAGTGTGGGTCATTACAAGTGCTGGAATAAGTGCAGCAAGAAATTACTATACCCTAAGACCTAGAAAGATTTGTGACTCAGAGGGGTGTATTCAAGTCTTAGTGAGCTATTCCTGGGGTGATGCACATTATGTACCACTTTTTTGTTCAGGGTTGTGCCAAAAAGCACAATCTAATCCAATACTATTACCTAAGAGTTAAGTCACTTTGCCATATCCACTAAATGCAGCAAAATGGGACTGGGCAGCATTACACTAAATGCTTTGAAACCTCTGCCTCACTCTTGTGGTTTACTTATGTGATTTAGGCTGGGGGTCTATCCTGCCTTCAAGTACATGCAGACAATTCAGTCGCCTTCAGTGGCAGCTTCGGGATAGAATTGGATTGGACCCATTGTATTAACCTGAGGAAATGTGAAATTTCCAGCAATTTCAGTATGCAAACTATCTGCTTCTTGCTGTTGTGCAGCCTCCCTTCAGTGCCTCTTCTGCCCACTGTATCAATCTGTTATCTCAGGGGTCAGCAACCAACCAACATACCACCCATGGGCCAAATCCAGCCCACAAAGCCATTGGATTCAGCTGCAACATGGGGCTTTGATGGCATTCAGTGACAGGGAGCTTCAGCTGCAGTCATTGTCCTGGGCCTGCTGGAGGGACAAGCACCCGCTGTGGAAGCTCTCCCCTTGCCATTATGGAGGAAAAGTGGAGGCAATGGCTAGGTCCTAGTGCCTGCCCCCATTCTGCTCCACAGCCTAAAGGTTTGAAACCACTGCCCTCTGCTAGTCACTGCCTGAGCTCCAGCTGGAGTTGGCAAACACTAAGGCCAATCTCACCCCCAAAACAATGATACTGAGCACTTATATGACATATGACACATTTCATTTACAGCAGTAAGTATTAATCTTCATGACTCACCTGCATTTACAACTCAGTGGGTGCTTCTACATGTCCATTAATGTGCCATAGTTACTGCACATCAAGTTTAGTGCCTGCATTACCAGGTACTAAATCAACATGCAGTAACTGGCACTACTGTGCAGTAACACCAGCACATGCCTTTTAATGCTAATGCTCAGTAAATTAACACGCTTACCCTGTGATGTGCTAATACACAGTAGAGTTAGTCTGCACATTGAGCTTCTTGTGCAGACACACCCTGTTTAACAAATAAGGAACCTGAGACTCTGAGGGTAAGGGTCTATTTTTCATCTTGCAGATTGCCTTATCATTTATACCTATGCAATCAGGATATAGAGCACTGCTGAATCAGCATGCTCCACCCAAAACAGAAGAGCCACAACATGATCAGGCAACCAGGGAGTATGGCCACAGAGATAGGAGACAGGGAGACACCAGGCATCATGACTAAGGGAACGGAAAGCAAGTGCAAAGGGAGAAAAGAATCAGGTAGCAAGGAACCATTCACAGGGCCAAGAACCAGAAATGCATGTGAGGGAGGCAGGGAGAGCAAGGACCAAATGAAAGGAAAAGAATTCAAAGCAAGAGTAGCGAGAGTTATGAATCACCTCCTGAATACTTCTCCTGGTAGATAATTTCGGAGTCACCACAGATATATTAGGACTCACCAATGGGCTGGAAGTGACGCCGTATGATTTTAACTGGGAGCAGAAGAAGTCTAAAAAGATAAGAACCTGTCTTGGGTGCCCAAATCAGTTACAAGCCACATAAGAGAAGCCTGTCATGTATCTCAGATAGACACACCTTCCACTTGATTGCACAGCTGGGTCCCAAAGGGGTCATTCTGGGAGCCAAAGGGTGCTTGAAAATTCTGGCCTTATGTTTTAGAGCAGACCTACTGCTGATGGGCATGCTATCTTCATGCTCACACATTTTTATTGGCAGGTATAAGACAAGACAATAAACTGAAGAATAAATGTGTTGCCTCAGATCCAGTCCCGCATCTCAGCTATGAGTGGCTATGATTATCTCACACAAGCAAAGGCAAAATCTTGGCCTTTATAAAAGAAACATAACACTTATCATTCCAAGGTGAGATACTTGACATTTAACAAGCACTGACAATCAGAACACATCTTTCATCACAGCTTGCAAACTAATTAACCACGCTGAAATTTTTCCTTCTCTGAACATTACTGTGTCAGAGAAACATTTATAGATATGCCCTGTAAAACATATCAAATAAAATGTATGTACCAAAGGCCTTAAAATAACAATAAGGGTCTGTGGAGATGTCACTCGTACTGCAACATGTATATATTTTATTTCATCAAACATTTAAATGCTCTTAAAGGTTTCATAGCAGTTCAAGGCATGTATAAATATGCTGATTCTCTTCAGCATTTCCATGAACTCAGCATGCAGCACCTAACTGTACAGAAAACTGCCAGATTTACTGCCTGAAGTTACAACCATGGTGAATAAACAGGGCTCTAATAATGGAAACAATGTGCTGCTAAGAGTCTGTTTTTCCATGTATTTTATATGCTCATTTCCTAATGCTGCCAAAGATTTTTTTTTTCCTGAATGACAATTAGAATCAAATTAGCAGATATGGGATAATATTAGCAGATATGGGTAATAATTAGCAGATATGGGTAATAATACCCAAGAGACAACAAACTAATATCCCATAATATGCGTTTCTGTCCCTTGATACTTATAGTGAAAAAGAGAATCTTAGTTTGATAATACCAGAGCTATTTCACACAAGCAAAGAGAAGTCTCCTCACTTCAGAGCC